AGTCTCCTAAATCCATATATGAATCCATTCTCGACTAGTGACAGCCACCCAAATAACCATAACATCAGAAAGGTCACCAGCCTAATCCTACGAAAAGTCTCGTTTGATTACCAAAAAAAAATCTCTACTTATTTTAGGTCGTTTTTACTAGAGATGTCTTAGATATCACTCTAATCAAATTTGCTAATAAATAATAGGTTGATGAATGTTCGGTTTGAACTAAACATGTCCATAGATTCTAAAATATGTCATAAATCCCTATACCGAAAAGATAACTACCACGAAAAAAAAAAAAAAAATCAAATGGGTTTTCAATATGAGTGATTCATCAAAAATTCAATTCATTACCAGAATCATGACAAACAGAATCAAGATTTAAGGGAATCAAGTTCAGCTTTCTTAAACACATATAGCTATCAAACTATTAATAAAGCATTACATGTCATAAAGATGGGGACCTAACTACAATATTGCATAGGATAAAAATAATAATAGATATCATATCAATGAAAGGCAGCTGAGATGCATATTAAAATCCCACATTTTTTTTTTGCTATGTACGGACCTACTCATAATTGGAACCTAACTTTTTAAGCTTGGGTAATTGGTGGTGGTTTTAGATGTTACAAAAAAAAAAAAAAAAAAAACATTAAGTTATGTCTAATAAATCCAAAAAAATATTTGAAAACCCAAAATTTTAATTTTATGTATAATAAGTTGGTAAAATTTGAAAATGGTTATAAAAAAGGTTAGAGATCTATAAATGTTTCAAAATTATAAATAGAATGATTATAAAAAAGACATCTGAATTTAATAATTTGACCAAAAAAAAAAAAAACATCCAAATGTTGGCTGGTGGATAAAAGTTAGGACATTGGAATAAACAAAGTGTCAAACACCAAACAAAATCTCAGCTTTTTAAGCTCTATGTTACAAAAATCTAACTTTTAGGGTCAAACATCTGAGAATAAGAAATTGAAAGACAACTTTTTCATACACTTCTAACCATTATAAAAATGTCAACTTGAAAGGCTATCTAACAATTAATGTTGTTGGGATATAAAACTCAAATCAAAAGAAGTTGAATTCAATGAAATATAAGTCTAAAAACATCTCTTTTTTTTTTAAATTGTTTTGTCCAATTACCATAATACCCTTGGATGGATCTTCAAAGTAGTCTGTCATGGGTAAGCTGGGAGGGGTATCTGTGTTATTTTGACCAATGCACAACTGGACCGTAAATGGAATTTTATCTTAATTTTCATTGTGGGTCTATTTTTGCAAATGGGTTGAGCAGAACTACCATAATACCCTTGGGGGATCTTCAGAAGTAGTCTTGACAGTCTAGGGGTATCTGCATCATACTATTGCAAATGGGATGACCTTAATATCCTTGGAGAAGGAACTTCATCTGGAGGGGTATTTGTGTCATTTTGGAAAATGCACAACCGAACAATACAGTGATTTTTATCTAAATTTTCAACATGGGTCTAGTCTTGCAAATGGGGTTATCAAAATTACCATAATACCCTTGGGAGGATCTTCAAAAGGAGTGCCTGTCAGAGTAGCCTAGGAGGGGTATTCATGTCATTTTGACAAACGCGTAACTGAACAGTACATTATGGGTCTGTTTTGCAAATGGGTTTATCGAAATTACAATAATACCCTTGGGAGTATCTTGTCATGGGTGGTCTGGGATGGATATTTGTGTCATTTCGACAAATGCACAGGGGATTGGTTGTTGGTAACAGGCACTGAGATTTTTCTCACTTTTAAAGAAATATTTATAAAATAATAAATAAAAAAATGAAAGAAAAGGGGGAAAGTACAGAAGGAAACGTTGTGATGTGTAAGAGTTATTGGATTTATTAGCTGCTGCTCTCTTCCCCCAACAATCAATTTAAATCTTTTGTCCTTTCATTCTCTGCCATTTCTCCTCATTTTTTTCTTTCTTCCTCAAATTTCTAACTTTTGTTTTTCTCAACAACCCTTTCATATTTCTTTATTCCCATACAAAAATTAAAAAAATCATGGAATGTAAAAATTCTAAACAGAATTAAGAGGGAGTCAAAACAATGTAATGAAAGAAAAAAAAAAAAGTATATTTCTACCTATAAATTTTAAGTAAACTTTTAGCTCTTTCGTAGTATTATTATTATTATTTTAGTTTTAAACGTTATGAATTCAAAGTTACAACTGACATTTATTGGGTAGATAAGATTTCTAAAATCCATCGTTCATTCAAATGAGAGATCTTCCTATCATTTTCTTCCTGTTCAAATGTAAATTGAAAGTATATTCAATCCAAATCAAGTAAAAACTAAAAGAATAAAATTACAAATAAAGAAACTAAATTATAATATTGTATATATATTTTGAACTAAAATATTTGAGTTTTAAATTCGTACTGTTATAAAAAAAAAATAAAAGAAAAAATAGGGAAGATCGGCTGATGAGGCGGAAGTGAGCCGAGCCGAGCCGAAGCGAGAGGTATAGACGGTGGAGCGGAAAGAAGGGAAGCGAAGTCCAAAAGGGGCAAAAAGGGAAAAAGAAAACACAAGGACAGAGGAAGATGAAGAAGAACCAAGAAGGGAAGGAAGTGGAGAAACGATGACGGAAGCTTTACTAACGGCGAAAGTTGTCAGTTAGCCTGTCCCTCGTGGGTCCCACCTCTTCTCTTTCCCTCTCCTTCCCTCTGAAGCCGCGGGAATCTTTTTGTTTTTATTTTATTTTTCGGGAAGGGGAAATTGAAAATCAGGCCTCCATTCGAATTATTGTTTTAAACGCTTTTTCAACTCTTAAGTTACCATTTTTCCTTCTCTTTTTACTAAACTTACCTAAATAAATATAGGCTTTTTTAAGACAAAAAATAAAACAAAAATGTCAAACTAATCTTTTATCTTTACCTTTGACTAATGGAATCCTATATGTTGCAACGTTTTCTTTCTAAATTTTCACATTTTTTATTTAATATTAAATATTTTTTAAAAGTTTGAAGGCTTTTTCAGTAACACGCCTCATGCCTAAAATTTAGAATCCATATTATTCCATATTTGATAGTCCCAACATTCCGTTACATCTCTTAGAACATGATCATCTTACTTACTCTTTACTTTTAAGAGTTAAAAGCATATCTCTACAAGTCAATACGACTTCTTTCATCATAATTTGTCTTCACTCATATGCTTCTTAAGAAAATTTTCAAAAGGCACTTCACATAGAATTACTCCAAACGAAACACACTTAACATTAGAGTTCCTATGAAAGTGATTGAAAAGGAAGATGTATCTTGGTGGTATAAATAGTAAATTTCAACTTAGTTTTGCTTAATCATCCTATCTTCAGGATTGCTCTAATTCAAATGCGATCCTTATTCATTCGATCCTTATTCATTCATATACCTCCTTTTACTCGAGGTTCACAATAAATAGGGTCGATGATAGAGGTCAAAGGAAAAATTTCTAAATAGGTTAAGTTATACCTTAAAACTTTTTAAAGTTCAAAACACTTCACAACCAAAGTGGTAATTTACCCTTATAGAATTTAAACTTGCATGTCGGTACTGAGTAGAATGAAAGTGGGCCGAGGAGGAAAGGCCCAATAGAGAAAGAGATGGGGCCCAGGGAACAAAATAGCAAATACAACCAACCACGCCTCATTATTACACTCATCATTAACGCGCCATTTTTTTTTTTTTTTTTTGGTAGTTTCACACTTCATTTGATAGAGACATTCCTTTCCTTGTGGGCTCATCTCTTTTTTTCCACCATTATTTTTCACTTCAAAATTTCAAATCATGTTTCTAGTATTTATTCCTAAAACAAAAACCAAAATAAATAATGCTCATATCTAAGTCTCCTAATCAAAATGAAAAGCCAATTTTTGATAGTAATTTCATTATCTACTCCTTAATAAAGAAAAAAAAAAGGATAAAAATTGACTCACAAACAGGGTAATTAATTTATTGAAACTAGATATAGTATGGCCTATTTTAACAATGGTTTTAATTTTTGGCTGCTGTTGAAAATATACTTTTAATAGTTAGCATCTTATCCAATAATTATTGGAAATATGACACTGACTTAAAAGCCGAAGTGAATTATTTTGCAAGGACTTCCTTGCAAAAGGAAAATATTCCAATTGTAAAGGGAATATATGTGTGTTCTGTCTACAAGTAAAGACTCTCCCCCTATGTCTGCTAATGGGCCGGCAAAAGTGGATTTGGGCTCTCCAGTGGATTGCTATGGGGCTGAGGAATAGACCATACGATTGTGGACCTACTTTCATTATGGGCCTAGTAACAGCCCGTGTTATCAATTGTTGTCTGCTAAATTATAAAAAGTACCATATGTTATAAAAATAGTTTTTTCCTCTTCTATATGCATTTACTAATAATAATCGAGATCAGTGTAAGAAAGTTATATTCTATATAAACTCCTATATTCATGTGATTATATGTTTACTTCTGACTGGAACAAGAAAATCACAAAGCTCTATATGTCTCGAGAGATGTACCTGATTGTGTTGTTAATTTTAGTTATCTGCAGCTGCTGAGAACTCAAAACATTTGACAGTTTCATCTAGTCCTCTCTGCTAGCTACATGATGAAATCACACAGATTCAGTTGAAGGAAAGTTGAAAACGAAGAACAAAGAGGCCCAGTTTCAAGTTAAGAAGAAAGAGGAAAACAAAATACAGGGAGATTAAGAAGAAAGAGGAAGGTCTTTGCAGTATTCACGCCAAAGATTCACCTTCTAGTGTCCCAGACTAACTCAAGTTAACACACAACAGGAAATAACATTGGATGTAAGCAGTAGGAGTTCCATTTGATAGAAAAACAATTATAAACACTGATAACTTACGTTATGAATCATGAAAATCACAAGTTCAGTACATGAAGCCTAAACAGAACTGATACTATAAATTCTTACAATGATAAGCACTGATAACTTATGAATCATGACAATCATAAGTTCAGTACATTAAGTTTAAACGGGGATGATACCAGAAATCGTTCTGGGTATTATAAGATAGATAATGAATATCCTACATAAACAATGGCATGTGGAAACAGTTCTATTTTCTGAAGATGCAGCTGGGAACGAATTAATCCTACTCTTTGGTTGTGAAAAATGGAGATTGAATCATTCTTTAAGGCGTTGTATATAGGCCCATAGGGAAAACGTTTGAGGTCCCTAATAGCAACTTCCAACAAAGATTGGGTAAAACTATGAAGTTACAGGACATGTCCGTAGCAAATGGTTTGTTGCACCAAATAGCACTTGGAACTTTACATACCACCAACTGTTTTATATATAAAATCATTTGGATCAGCGGTGGAAAGGAACAAGGAATGGTTAAAATGTGACTGATATTCATCTTCTTCAGTTGATCCTTGTGATGGGTGGCTCCAATAGAGGCTAAGAACAGACTAAAATACCACAAAGGACAACAGCTTCAGATGCTGTTTAAGCAGAGGTCTGAACCACTGACTAGAATAATAAGGCACAATTAAGCAGCCAAAAGATTGGTTCCGATGACTTTTGAAATGATGAAAAGTACTGTGCTAAAAACATTTTAAAGTGCTATGAGAGAAACTTAAGTAATGTTGCCCAAAATCCGTATCAGTACCTTCAAAAGTCGTTACAAACTCATTCTAATTAGGATTACCTCTTCAATTTGCCAAGGAACTCTGTCCTCTTTTAAGGCCTCTCTCTAGACAAATGATGTTACATAGAACAGTTAATTGAACACTCATCATCGCGATCTAGAACAGTTAATCGAACACTCCTCATCGCGATCTGTTTCCGTAGTAGAAACGAAAACCAAGATCTATATGTTCTTTCTTTTCATTCCTCCGTCAAAAAAGGCACGCCGAATTGAGATTTCTATCTTTTCTCAACAAGTTTTAAATCGCATCCCAATTTACATAGTTCAAACATTGTTTTAGGTTGAGACTTGAAATGAACATAGGATCCAGAAAAACAAATGAGATGATCACAGATCCAAATTATATATATGACATCATAAGCCTAAAATATGTACAAGACGATGAAGATTGTTCAAGATTCAATGAAAAATGAGGATCAATAAACTAAATTGAACGGAATGCCTCAAACAAAACGCCAAATAGTTAAACCACTACAGAATTAAAACTAACTATTCGGAAACGAAATCTCATGTCAATATCACATCCCCAAATCTTCCCCTCCGCTTATCCACAGAAACAAATTCCACTTAAAAGAAACACAAATGAATTTGCAGGCATTCACAGAAAAAGAAGTTCAGATTCTCCTCATATCAACGAATAACGTATGATAATTTTTCTACTCATTGGATTTGAACATAACTAGAGAGACTTGAAGTTTCAATTGAAAACAACGAATTATTTAACCAGTGTAGAAACTATCGGTAACTTCGATGAAGAACTCGATTTTTCATTTGGTGAATCGCAATCTAATAGACAAATTATATAAGTTACGAGGATCGAATACTCACCAGGAAATTTTTCGAGCTTCTGGCGGAAATGGATCGATTGAGAAATCCGACTATCCAAGACTGAACCTCCATTGATTCTGCTGCGTTTGGGAACGAATTCTTTTATACGAACCGCGAGCCTGAGCCAACGATTGCGCGGTAAAATTTGATAACATTGAATATAAATGTTTTTTTATTTATTAAATAACTACATATTTTTTAAATTTAGAAAAAATAATAATTATTTTCTTTGATTCCCAATTTTATTTCTTTAAGATTTAAAATATTAAATAATTTCAGTCTTAGAATATGATTATCTAATAAAATCATTTTTTTACATCATTATCTATATATATATATATATATATATATATATATAAGTTTCACAGAACATTGCATCCATTTTTTCTTTAGTATTTATTTTTGTAGTTTTCGAAAAATAAATATAAAATAAAAAACATTAAATTTGGTCGAAAAAATATCATTTTTAATAAATTTACCGAGCAAATGACAAATATAGAAGTTTCTTGTTTGTCGTTTTTCGTTTTCTTTTCTTACTTAGACTAATAATATTTGGATGGTGCCGGTAACATATATTGTCCACTTTGATCCATATTGTTGTCAGGTTAACAGTCTAGTTTCTCCACTCTTTTAAAAGATACTTTGTTCCCCCTCCAATAGATGTGGGACATGGGATCTCATAATTTGGCCGGTGTATGACTGTAATATCATGTGTAACAGCTCAAGCCCATAATTCATGGATGTTTTCTCCGTCTCCATCCTCGCTACTTTTTTCAATCCTCGTCCCTACAAAATGGTCAATTTTTTTTTTCAAACATCGAGGTCAGACAGGGACTCCTCCAGATGATTTTGATCTCTCTCTCGGCTCTCCTTAAGGTAGATACTTTTAGATCTCCACGGTTAAATAGACATATTTTAAATCCAACAGTTAAAAATAGACTATAAATAACAAGAATGGGTGGATTCTTCGTTTCGCAAGTGGATTTGTTGAAAACCGACGACTAATAAATTTGGGCAAAGAAGATAATGTAAAGGATAGCAATTTTATTTCCACCTCAGCGTCCCATCATTTTTCTTTTATAACATGAATTTTATTTTATTTTTTAAAAATAAAATTATACGATAAATTTTATAAATATATTCTCTTAAACAAACTGCTCCACCTGGCATTTTTCCCTCTGCCAAAGTCTCCACTCTCTCTCTCTCTAACAAATTTCCAATCCGCGGCGAATCTCCGCCGACTGTTCCAAATTTCCATGGCCGTTCCCAAATCTCGCTTTCTTCTTCTTCTTCTTCTCTGTTTCTCAGCCCTCTTCCATGGCGGAGCCTTCTCTCTGGTCATTCCCGTCAACAAAGATTCCGTTACTAATCAGTATTTGGCCACGCTCTATCATGGCTCTCAGATTAAGCCTGTCCATCTCGCCGTTGATCTTGGCGGCCGGTTTCTCTGGATGGCTTGTGGTGGCTCTTCCTCCAGCCGGCCGATTCTCAGTCGGTCTATTCAGTGCATAGCGGCGGTTGGTGGGGGTAGATCTGGGTCTTCTGGCAGCGCGTGTGATGTAATTGCTGGGAATCCGTTTGGGGATTTGGAGGGGAAGGCGGTGCTGGTTGAGGATACGGTCGCCGTGAGGTCTTTGGACCGGTCAACGGCGGCGGTGATTGTTGCGCTTCATTCTTGTGCTCCGAGGTTTCTTTTACAAGGTTTGGCGAAGTCGGCTAAAGGAGTTTTGGGGCTTGGCCGGAATCAAATCTCGCTTCCGGCTCAGATCGCTACAGAGCTCGGTTTTCACCGGCGATTTTCCGTTTGTCTTTCGTCGACGAACGGCGTTGTTTTTCCGGATACTGGAAACCTAGACTCTGTTTATGGATCTGAGATTTCGAGTTCTTTGACTTACACGCCGATTTTAACCAAGAAAACCGACGCCTCGCAGTCGCCGGAGTATTTCATCAACGTTAAAGCCATCAAAGTCGACGGTAACCGCCTCGATCTGAACAAGTCGCTTCTCGATTTGGATGGCGGAGGTGGCGGAGGGACGAGATTAAGCACGGTTGTTCCATACACCACACTAGGGAGTTCCATCTTCAACTCTCTGACGGCGGCTTTCAGAGCAGCAGCGGCGGCGATGAACATGAAAGAAGTGGCGCCGGTGGCGCCATTTGAGGCGTGTTTTGAATCGGAAAACATGGAGATGACAGCGACAGGGCCGAAAGTGCCGGAGATTGAACTGATTTTGCAGAGCGAAATGGTGGGATGGAAAATTAATGGAAGAAATTCAATGGTGAAGGTGAACGATGAAACTCTGTGTTTAGGGTTCGTCGACGGTGGATTGAAGCCAAGAAACGCCGTCGTTTTGGGAGGGTATCAAATGGAGGATATCGTCCTGGATTTCGACATGGGGACTTCCATGCTCGGATTTAGCTCCTCTTTGTTGCAGAGGAAGAAATCTTGCTCGGAATTTTCGCCGGAAAATTTACCGATCAGAGCCGGATGATTTGAGCAGGATAAAACTGAAATCAGTGGTAAAATTTTGAGTTTTTTTAATTTTTTTTAATTTTTATTATTATTATTATTATTTTTTTTTTGTGGAAATTAGGATCTTACTGTGTACTATGAGTTTTATATGCTATTTTTCTAGTTCCGGCATAATTTTTTTTTTTTTATGACTTGTGATAATTAGCTTAATATATATATATATATATATATATATAAAATTGAGATTTTATTTTATTTTTTTAATTTATGTTTATTTATTTTTAAATAAATTTGAATTTTTTCTAAAATATAAAACCAAGAAAGTAATTAAAATGTAATTAGAACATAATTAAAGTGGGTTTAGAAATTAATTTGATATTTAATTTTACATTCTAAAAAAATTAAATGATTAAATATTTATTTGGGCAATAAATATTCTAACAAGTACTGTCTCTTCAAATTCACCTGGTCTCAGTCATACTCTTTTATAAAATAATATATATATTTTTAAAAATCACTATTTAAAAAAGTCATTTCAAGATTGCTACATGAGTCTAAAATTTGCATTTTACCCTTATGAGAAAATATAAACCATGGTTAAGTTAAGGGTTGGAATTGGAGTTTATATTGGAAATACTTCGGTATAGGAACCACGGGACCCCACCACTAGTCTACCTTCTTTGGTTGTCTCTTGCCCCTCGTAACCAACGGGTCCTTTCTCACTTGATCACTAACACATGAGCTCGCCTTTTGCAGCCCTAATACAGCATATGAGCTTAGCCCAAAGGAGATTTAAGGAGTCTCTTAGTGAAACTCTTCCTCAAAGAAGGCAGTCGATAAGAGACCCAAAAAGAAGGGATTAGCTTTATTTTGAATGAAAGGGATAAACCAATGTGATCATAATATTGTAGGTGCTTGCAATGCGACTTTTAACCCTTTCAATATGGCGTCTATGAGCATGTGCCCTATACTCGGATATTCTCATAAACATCCATTTATAGACTACTCCCTACTATTTAGATATTTTGAAAACAATTTTTTTTTGAAATATTTGTATGATAAGGGTATTTTTAAATAAAAAACAAATTTTGGGATTTTTTTTTAATTTAGTGGGAAAATAATGTTAACCATGGTTAAGTGAAGGGTGGGACGTGGGGTTTGGTGGGCTTTGATATTCTCTAGAAAAAAACAAGCACCAACGTAAGAATGAGAGAGCATCTTTATTAGAATATTTTGGGATTCCCTTTGTGGGAACAAAAATAAAAAGTTGAAAATGACAACCCAATATCCTTCCTCCAACCATGGCAATCGCAATTTTCAAGGGCAAAATCGGGAATTCTCGAAAATGAAAGGATAAGAATGGGCGTGGAATCGTACTGATATATCATTATTAAATAAGTGGCTCACCGCTTATCGATATGCAGTGCTAGCCCTACTGCTCGCGTCATAATTTATTGAGATACATTTATTTTACAAAATTATAAATTATTTGTACCAAATTAATTAAAAAAAATCTAATTTTATATTTTATTTTAAAATATATTTTAAAACTGTTAAATATTTATTTAATAAATATTAAAGACTTACAATGATATAAAAATGTAAATTACACGAAATCGTTATTTTTTTAATTTAATTATGAGGGTTTAATTTTTGTAATTAAAATTTTGAATTTGCATGAATTTCTCTCACTTAATTTCAATATTAAATTTTTCATTACAAATTTTTAATATGAAATTCATGAATTTCAATATTAAAATATTTCCCTTTTATTTCTTCCTATATTTAGTGTGGGCCGTGAAGTCCAAGTAGATTGGTAATGGGCTTTAATTTAAAGCCCATTCTTATGTTCAATTCCAACCTCGTTTTCGTAAAATTGAGATCTCGACATTTTTATCGACATTCACATTTTAAACCATGATATGATACAATGAAATAACTTTTCATTTTTTTTTTCATAATTAAATAATTAAAATCATATTTAAAATTACTTTCAAATATTTTTTAAATTATTAAAATCAATTTTAATTATATAAAACTCGTAAAACCCCCACTAAATTGATTTCAAATAGTTAAAAATATATATCTAAATAATTTGTAATATTTCAAACTTTCTATCCAACATATTTGAATAACAAATTTGAAACATATTTTAAAATTTTAAAAATTAATTTTTTTTATATATAAATCTTATTTAAAATTATTAAATTAATTTTTTGTTTTAATTTTCAATTTTCAATTTTTTTTTATAGGATATAAATTAAATGACAATTTAACCTCAAAAGATATCAAATCACTTTCAATGTAACTTGCCAACCACTCCTTAATTTATTATCTCAAATGACGCATCTTTTTTATTATTATTATATTGTTTACTCGTGAGAAAATTCTCCAAAAAAAAAAAAAGGTTTAATTGCATAAATGGGACTTCTAATATACTTTAATTTCACTAATACCCACTTTTATCTTTATTTTAAACTCAAAGCAACCCACTAGACAGGGTTAGCTTGGAGATACATTTACCATCATGCCCATTAATAAAAATTCTATAATTAGCATCTATTAAATTTAATGCAAGGGTAAAATTGTAATAAGTGCAAAATTTTAGAGACTAAATAAAAGTAAAAATGTAATATTTTTAAGTTTAGGAACTAAATTGAAATTATTCTCAAAACTTAGGAACAAAAAAAATGAGATGTCCAAATAAATAAATAGTACATAAATGAATCGAAATCAGTGGTTAGTTTCAACTATATGTACATTTGTTTTAAGTAGTTTAATAATAAAAATTTCATAGTAGGTTTTTTTTTTTTTTTTTTAGAAAAACGGAGAATAAAGATAAAATATGTAAAAGTAATTCCGGATAATTGTGGAGGATATTTTTGGAATTTGAAAAGTAACCCTCTAACTTTACAAAATTACGTACCCCACCAGCCCCATTAGGCGAGATTCTTCGAGATTCCTCTTTTATCTTTTTAGGAAAAAATAAATAAATAAATAAACAAATTAAATGTGTGTTTTTAATCTTATCCTTTTTAATTAATTTATTTTTAACAAAATAAACAAATTAAATTTAATATTATCTCACGTGAACATGCGAAAGTACGAAAGTACCCTCCACTCTCTAACCCGGCCTATAAATAAGGGATCAGCTCCCTTTTGAGCTTAAAGTGCTTCTATCATTGTTTAATTTCTCAGATCGTGGCAAATATGTTGGGCGTATTTAGCAGTTCGATTATATCGCCGCCGGACGAACTGGTGGCTGCCGGCTGCCGGACTCCGTCGCCGAAGATATCGTCCACGGCGCTGACGAAGCGGTTCGCGGATTCCAATACTGCCGCCGTCTCCCTCCAGATCGGTGACCATGTCCACCTCGCCTTCACTCACCACAACGAGTCTCCCTTGCGCCCCAGGTACTGGAGATTTTCCGTTCAAAACGCCGTTCTACGGCGGCGCTCTGTTTTTTCCTAAAAATCTTCTCTCTCTCTCTCTCTCTATATATATATTATTTTTTAAATAAAAAAGTACTAATGTGTAAAATTTAAATTTATGTATACTAGATCGATTAATTTCTAAAAATTATAAAAATATAATATAATAAGAATTATAAAATTTAAAATGATCACTTAAATATTTTTAAATGTATTAAAGTCAATAATAATCCTTATAAATTATGTCAAACAATTTACTAAATACAAAATTAATTCAAATATTAAGGGCCTAATTAATATAGAAGTGACCGCAAGGGTGTTTTTGTCATTTCACAGATTTATTATAAAACCGCCAAACGATAATTCCAGCATCCAGTGTTCCCGTAGTTTCTGGAAAGTGAAGCCATATTTATTTTATATTTTAAACTTTTAAAAAAATAAAAACCATACTTATTATGCCTTAAATTAAAAAAAAAATTAATTTATAAATTATATTGCTTTGCTTTAATCTCGGCAATTACTTTACTTATTATTATTTTTACAATATATGAGATCGTAATAAGTGTAATAATATCGTCATTTTTTGTTTTTTTTTTTTAATTATCTAAGCATAATTAATTATTAATCGAAAAATTTGTATTCAATCAAATTCTAAAATTTTTACTTTCAAATATTTTAAATTAATGAATTTAAAAAAATCGAATAAATCTATATAGACTAAAAATTAAAAGATTTATTTGATATTACTAATCTGCCCTTCCTTCCTAGAGTGGTATATTTTATAAGTGATCCAAAAAAAGCTAAATTAAATATTTAAGTATTTTTAAACAATATTAAAATTTATTGAACACGAAATAAAAAATATATAATTTATTACACTATTTTTAAAAAGGATAAAGATAAATATATACAAAATTTTAAGGTTGCAACTTAAGAAATAATTTTTTAAAGATAATATGCATTAAAAATCCAGTATTTTTCGATTTTTTTGAAAATGAAAATCCAAAAAAAAAACGCCATTGTAGATCGCTGGCAGTGAAGGAGGAGATCTTCTGCTTGTTCGAAGGAGCTCTAGACAATTTGGGGAGCTTGAGGAACCAATACGGCCTTCCCAAATCCACCAATGAAGTCATCCTGGTAATCGAAGCTTACAAAGCTCTTCGTGATCGAGCTCCATATCCGGTCGACCATGTCGTCGGCCATTTCAGCGGCAGCTTCGCATTCATCCTCTTCGACAACTCCACCTCCACCCTCTTCGTCGCCTCTGTAAGTCACTTCTCAGATTCTAATCTCCAAAATCGAAGTTAGAAAGTACTGATTTCTTGTTGATTTTGGTTTTTGCAGGATCAGTTCGGGAAGGTGCCTTTGTATTGGGGAATCACCGCTGATGGATACGTCGCGTTTGCCGATGATGCAGGTTTACTCAAAGGCGCTTGTGGAAAATCCCTTGCGTCGTTTCCACAAGGTACTTCGAAACTCGGCGCGATTTTCATGGATTAGAAAAATTAGGGCACGGATTCATCTGAATCGTTGTTTCAATTGCAGGCTGTTTCTACTCCACGGCGGTGGGAGAATTGAGATGCTACGAGAATCCGAAGAACAAGATAACTGCTGAACCTGCTCCTGAAGAAGAGATCTGGGGTGCAAAATTCAAGGTATGCGATTATTATACTCTCTTTTAATTGAATTAGAAAATGGGCGCAAAATTAGGCTTGGAAATTTGCTGATAGCGTCATTGTTCGAGTCAGTATGAGTATGAGTATGTGTGTCAAAATTCTTCCTCTGAGTGATGAACACAGCTGAAGATTCAAATTTTATGATTTAACATTGCACTTGATTACACCACAAAAAGGTAGAGAAAAATCACGCCCATAACCATGATCTTATCTCAATGGAACTGGAAAGTATTTTAGCCATAATAAAGAATTCACTATCTTTTGGACTGTGGATATCATAAAGTAGTGGATAAAGAACTAAATTCTATACCATACATAACATGATGAGACATTCACTTTGTAGGTCCTCACCCATTGAACAATTCTTCTAGCATCGATCTTCTTTTCCTTACTCTTCTTTCATATTCTGACTCTGTTTTGATCCAAAATAATGTTCTTTGAACCTTACATGATGAGTGATCCATCAAAATAATCGGATTTGGTATATGAAATTACATCCGAAGGAGTGAAAATGGACATTAAAAAGGTTAGTTCGTGCTTTTTTGAGAAACCCCACCAAGCTCATAATGTAGAACCTAATTTTAGATTTGCAAGTCAAGATCAATGAGAAAGATAATCACTGCAAGTTGGTTCAAATCATAGCGGTCAACTAGGATTCAATCTTCTAAGGATTAGGTAAAAAAGTTGTTAGGATGTGGATCCTGTTGTTTACTTATGGGTTAAGTAGTTTAAGTCTAAGATAGAATCTTATCTTATATTATTTATTCTCCTATCCCATGTAGTTTTCAAGATGGATTGTTGGTTTCTTATTTAGTTTTCATGGTAGAATACGTGTAACTACTGGAAGTCGTCTATAAATAAACCCTAGCTACTGTGAAGTTTTATATTTCGGTGTCTCCTTGCGTCTTCTCTCTTCTGTTGCCACCGTGAAGTTTTGCATTTCGGTGTCTCTATATTTCTCTTTGCGTCTTCTCTTTTTTGTTGCTACCGTGAAGTTTTGCATTTCAGTGTTTCCATAAGTCTCCTTGTGTCTTCTCTCTTTTGTTGCCATAGTGAACTTTTACATTTCGATGTCTCCATATTCTTCCTTGCGTCTTCTCTCGTGAAGTTTTACATTTCGGTGTTTCCATATTCCTCCTTGCGTCTTCTATCTTTTGTTCTCATGTTATTCGTCTAGATCGAGTGTGTAAGTTTTGCAAGCATAACATAAATTTCAACTAAAGAAGTAAAAACGGAACATTATATAAGTTGATTCTATCACTTTTGAGAAACCCCACCAAGCTCATAAAATCATTCTTATCGATTGTGTTATGATGGATGCTTGACTTTTCAGGTGGAGGGGCCAGCGGCTGTATCAGCCACAGGGTTCGGGTATCACAATTTCCCAATGGAGATTTCATAGAACTATGCTGTATCAGGCATAGCGCAGTAACTTACACGGGGGAAGGTAAGAATGGTGTGCTTATTTTACTGTGCCGAATGGTTTGTTTGATTTCAAGGGGACTGTAAAACTGTAAATACGAGTCTTTGTGGTAGAAATTTGCTTGCTTTAGTTCTATAAAAGTGTCTACGATGTGTTCAAATAGTTTGTTCATTAAAAACCCTTTTGGAGTTCTGAAATCTTCTCTCTTTCCTTCGATTTCCATATGCCTTTCAACTATATAATTGTTGGGCCTTAGCTCATCTCAATGGGCTTATTGGGCCTCAATATGGGCCGAGTCTTGCTTCATCGAGATGTGGGCTTAGCAATGAATTTCAGATGATTTGTTCATTGTTTTTTTTTTTTTTTTTAATAAATGTCTTCCCACAAAAAGTAGATGTTTATGATAAAAGTTAATAGGTTAAATAATTAAATACCCATAAACTATGGGCTTGAATTTTGAAAAAGTTGTATTTTAATTTTGCAAATTTGAAAGAAATGAAATAATTTCAAAATAACCCTTAAAGGCTTTATACATTAATAATTGTTTTTGCTCACAATTATTATTTTGAAACAAATTAAAATGAATTTTAAATAAATTGTTTTTCGATAATTAAATAAAAACAGGTTTTGAAAGTAATTTGCCGAAAATAGCGGGGGCCTGGGTGGGAAAATGAGTCACTGATTTGGACTAATAAATAGACGTGGGTCCCGCCTTGAATTAACAAATTAAAAAAAATTAAAAAAGAATGTGGGACCCACCTTTGATCCGAGACGTGATGTTTACGCCATGCAGTTTCACTTCACGCTTCACGTTCTTTTTTTCTCCTCAAATTAATCGAATTTATTTATTTATTTATTTATTATTATTTAAGTTATGTTACTAAATTATAAATTATGAATGATTTTAGTCCCAATTTAAAAATTATTTTTCTCGGACTATTTTAATTCAGAAAAGCTTTTTAAATGTTTAAATCCAGTTCATTTATTTTAAATAAATTTTTAAATAAAGTGATAGTGTTCAATCACTTTTTTAAAACAAAGTCTTTATTGACTTTTTTTTCCTACAAACTTTCATAATGTATTCACATTTTATCTTAATTACTATAATTTTTTTCGTCATTTTTTATTTATTTATTTTTAAATTAATTTCAATAATTTTTTTTGTAAACACCGCATTTTTACATTTATTATAGATAAAACTTTTAATCAATCAAATTAAACCTAATTTATTTTTTGAATTTTGATGTTTATAGACAAATTCATAAAATTTTTATTTTATATCTAATAAATTTATAAACATTATTAAGTAATTTAAAAATTAATTAATCAAATTTTAAAGAATTAAACATAAATTCCATTTATAATTTTAAAAAATTAAATAGAAGTTTTAAGCGTGAAATACACACAAGAAATAAATGGTTTCGGGGTTCCCATTAATTAAAGTTGTCCATTTTTGCGTGTTGGCTATTTTAGTTTGGTACGTGTCATAAATGTGCAATTCTATTGGATTATTCAATTTTCTTGTGGGACCACCTTATCGAATAAAGAATTCCTGTTTAACCTTAGAATTTATTCTCGAGTTATATGTTATTAAATTTATTATCGCTAATTATTCATATTTTTTTTTGTAATATTGATTTATTTCCCGTTGTTTTTTTTAATGCATTTCGCCCACATTTTCTAAAACATTTTTCTTAAATGTGTCCTGAGGTTCGATCTTACGTCATGATTGTTCGTAAAGTCTGGCTTCTGTATGACTGATTTGTTGGTTAGACTGGAATATAGTGTCACACCATCTATATATATTAATTTTTTTATGAAATTAATATATATTTTTAAACACATATATAAAAAAAAATAGACAAAATCACGATAATCTAATTCGGGTGAGTTTTCTATGAAATTTTTTTGGGCTAATTTGTGTGAAAATAAATAGAGAATTACACTGAATTAATATATATATATCAACTTCTCCCTGTCCAAGGTTATATACTGTGAGTCGTTGTTGTTATTTTCTTGCTTGTATAACGTCTCCTTCGAAAATCTCTCACTGCCCTCGTTTTCTAAAATTTTCTCTTAAATCGAGGCTAGAGGCTCGAGCATACGTCGCTTGGTTGTAGGCGACGCAAGAACGAATTGGCTTAGCTTACTTGTCGTGGGAAAGTGAGTGCCGCACAATCGTAAGTTCGCTGCCATCAAAAGTGCGATTGTGACTAGTAGCTTAGCTCACTTATAGTTTAGCTCACTTAGGAAAAATGGAATAAAAGTGAAATCATGTGGTTGATTAAATGGTCGGCTAGGTGGATCGTGACATGTCGGAGACTTCGTTAATAATAATGATTACCATAGATCTTATAAAATAATATTACTTGTTTATATCGATACATTATTGTTAAAAACAAAAAAGAAAAAAAAAATCTATTTTTTAATAAATAAGTAAGCCATAATTTAAATATATTTTCATTTTGCTACAAATCTTTTAAACTTTTAATAATTTCATCTTTACTCTCGTCTTATATTTAAAAAATTGTTATTTTTAAATACATTTTTTAACATATACATTTTATTAACTAAAACAAAATATAAAATAAGTTTTTTTCGATTAATAAATTAATAATTTAATAAACAATAATGGCTATTATTCTTTAAAATATATAAAATTTGAAAATGAAATTTAAACGTTTCTATTTGAAGTGGAGCGTGTTGAGACGAGAAATATAATCTCGATCCCGACCCAATTTATTTAGTGGAGAAAAATCTCTCTCCACTCCCTCTACATTTTTCGTTTAAATAGAGATTCTCTATTAGATTCGGAACGGGTGGAGACGAGGAATATAATCCCGACCCCAACTCAATTTAGATAACGAGAAAAAATTTCTTATGACTCGCTCCCTAATTTATCTAATTCCCATTTTTTGTTTATTTTGTTATTATTATTATTTTTGAAAACTGACATAAAAAGTTTTTTTTTTTTTTTTTTTTTTTTTTTTTTTTTTTTTGAGAAAGGCAAAAAAAACGGTATTATAGTAAAACTGCTTGACAGCCAAAGCCTTGTCAGAACTTTGTTTACGGCAGCCAAATCTCTCTACGCGCCTTTCAAATCCGTGCGCTACACGACCAATGAGAGAAAAGGGTACCACTAAATTAAAATTGAAACGTCAAATAATATTACCAAAATTTATTATGGATGAAAATTAAATATTAAATTAAAAAACGCTTTTTGTCAACTATTTATTATTTTTCATTCAAAATATTTTTAAAATTATTAGATCAATTTTTTATAAACTATAAAATTAAATTATTTCGTATAATTTATACTTTGGTGTCATGATATATATTAGAATACAGATTAAATTATTTGATCCTAAAAATTTTACCACTAAATGTTACACATTAAAATAATTTTTTTAAAATAAATTTATTATCGTTTTTATGTAATTTTTTTAACTTTCAAATATTTTATTAAGTATACTTTTAAATTATTTAAAGAAAAATTTAATATTAATGAAACGGTTCAAAGTAACATTAATAATGTTCAATTTTTAGGAAAAAAATTAAAAATATTTGTATAGTCGATGCGCTGACAATATTGAAAAAGACCGTTTTCGTTTATATATTGATTGTAATATTTTTAAAAAAAATAAAAATGAAGGGATTAATAAGGAAAAATAATAATGAAACTTTTTTAAAACATTTGTAAAAAATAGAACAAATTTTATATAAAAAAAAATTATGTATTATTAAATTTTTTAAAAGTGTTGGAATATTTTTTAAAGTATTTTTTTTTATTAATTTAAGAATTTAAATTTTATTATGTAATATCACGCTCTGTAAATGATGGTGGGATCAGCTTCTCCCTTGGGCTATCCGTTACTCACGAGTGAGCCAATCAAATCCTCTGTTTCTCTCTTTCCTCCCATTAACGCATACACTGTAAGAATCCACACCGCTTTCTAACCACACCCCCCACTTTCTTCTTCATTCTTCTTCTCCTTCATCATCTCAGAAGCGATTTTGTTTTTGTTTTTGATGTTTTTGTTCTTAATCTTCTTCTTCTTCCAGATTTCTACTCCTAATCATTTCATTATTCTCTAATCTTAAAGGTAAACAGGGGAGGAAGCTTTTTGTTCTTCATTTTTTTCCGCCATGAATGCTTCTTTGAACACCGATTTGGGGTTTTTCTTCTTCTCTGTTAGATTTCTCTCTGTTCATACTTCTTTGAACTGATCCACTAATTCGATTTCATAATTATTTCATCCCCTTCACTGTTTGCTTGTCTGAATCGAAACTTGGCGGAAGATTTTGATCTTGGTTTAAGCTTCAATGTCTAAGAACCCTTCTGTGATTGATCTTGAAGCCATGCCGTTTAGTGAAGTGTTCAGTAAACTTAAGCGTTTGAGACTGTTCGAGCCCTCGCTTGGGGTTTTTGGGTTCTTTTTCGTGTCTATTTGTTTGATTTGTAGCTTTTTTTTCTTGGATTACAGAACTGCTTCAAGTAGGTTTGTGTTTCCTCTTCGATCAGAGAGATTTGTTTGGCTAAGAAACTCTAATTTTGGTCAGAATCGGACGGTTGAGTTTCTTTCTGAAGAGGGATTTGAGTGTGATTTGTTTGATGGGGATTGGGTTTGGGATGATTCTTATCCTTTGTATGAATCCAAGAACTGCCCGTTTGTTGATCAAGGCTTTCGCTGCTCTGAAAATGGCCGCCCTGATTTGTTCTACACTAAATGGAAATGGCAACCCAAATTCTGCAACCTGCCCAGGTAAAATTTGAACTCAATATCAGATTCATCAAATTGTTTGTTAGATTAATCCGAAACTGAGGAAGAACAATCTTGTTAGTTCAATTTGTGTGTTTTAATAGTATAGATGATTATTACAAGTTCTAGATTCTGCTTTGAGTTTGAATTTTCTTTTTGTTTTGATTCTAATTCAGTGGCACCCTACCTGTTTTTTGGTTTTTGTTTTTTCTGCTTTGTTGACTGATTTCACCCGTGAATTGTTGGATGGATATAAGAAGGGACCTAGCTATGTAGTTTACAAGCTATTGTTTATATATGAATTCACGAGAATAGCTGCCTTTTGTGTTAATTATAGACGACGATCTCGTAAAGTATTGTTTGGGTTTGTTTGATTACTAAGTGCGTGTTTGTAGGTGAGTT